GCTAGGAGAATAGACGTAGCAGCATGCACACATGAAACACATGTAGAAAGAGAGCAGTAGATGATAACAGAAGACCAAACATACATGCTGAAGAAAACACAGAGATGCAGGCTGTAGAAAAAAGTAAAAGCACAGCAGAAATGCAGCATGCACGCAAGTGGAAGGAAGGAAAGAGACATGTACAACAACAATGGGAGCTTTAGTGATAAAGAGCACTAAAACAGAGCATAAAAAGAAAGAAGAAAAATGGAGGGACCAAAAGGAAAGAGCATAGAAGGAAAATTGAAAAAAAAAAAACAGAGCATAAAAGAGAAAAGAGAAACTGGGGACAAAGAAGAGAGAGACGAAGAGTGAGGAAGCATAGACGCAGCACAGAAGGAAAACTAAAAAAAATAGAGCATAAAAGAGAGAAGAGAAATTGGAGACAAAGAAGAGATCGAGAGATAGAGAGATTTTGGATTTTCCAAAAGAACTCTGCATTTTGAGAGAGAACGCTGAGATTAGAGGGAGAGTTTTGAAAAAAAACAGAGACCGAGAGCATAAAAAGAGAATGAGAAAGCAGAGACGGAGAAAGCAGGAGGAGCATCCGAAATGGAGAGGAAAGGACACAAGAGGATTAGAATTAGCGACAGAGAGAGAGAGAGAGCAAGCAAGACAGAAAAAAGGACTGAGAGAAAAAAAATTGGATAGGAGAGAAAGAAGAACCAGAGAGGGCATCGAAGAATTTTGTGAAACTATCTCCCTGAGTCTGCCTCTCCTCTTCCTGATAAACACCTGGTAACATGTTTTCTAACACCTGGTGACATGTTTTCTATCTTCACTTATGATTCTGGAATTATCTTGGATGTTCTATTTTCTTTTATGCCTTATTAATCTATGTGGGTTATGATTAATTTTCACAAATTACAAAATGAAGACATTAAAGTGACTAGTTGCCTTATGTGTGATCCACCTTGCTTTCCTTTAAGTTTATGTGATTGTTGTTTTAAAGGAAGAATGTTGCTGCTTCTTTTATTTATTTTTCTTCCTTTTGAATATCTTTGAAACATCAAGCCAAATATCTAAGATTATATGGCCAAAAAAAAGAAAGAAATGGCCTACTCCCAATTTGTTGCTCTCATGAATTTTATGTTCGAATGAATTATTCTTAAATATGTGCATCCCTTAATGCCTGTATGGTAAACATAACTATCATTTTTAAATTTTGCCATGTGAGATTTTAAGAATCCCCATAGGCATTAAAAATGATCTCATATCGTGTAAATCAATAAGATTTTACATGTATGAAGATCCAACTTGTATATTAAAGATGGATTCTAATAGCTCACCATTGAAATTAACTCTCTTTTTATACTTTAAATCAATAAAATATTTAAGTCTCACATGAGATTTTAAAAATCTTCGTAGAAAATTAAATTAAGTGCATTATCGTGTAGGATAATAAATTCTTGCAGATGTCACGATTATCAATTTAAATAAATAAATGAATTTTTGTAAATAAAATAATAAAATTTTTTATAATATTAATTAATTAAATTAATAAATTTAAATTATAATTATATTGTCTAATTAGATCTTTTGGTCATGTGAGATTTTTTAAACTCCGTAGACCTTTAGGATAATTATAATACTGCGTGAGTCAATAAGACTTTACAAGTATAATGATTAAGATTTCTATATTTAAAAATATACGTTATATAATTACGCATTAAAATATATTTAAAATGAATATTATTTAATTCTTCTATTGTGTGAGACTTTAAATCTCTACAGATATTTAGCCTAATCTCATATCGTGTAAATCAATAAGGTTTCGTAGATATGAGAATAAAACTTATATATTAATATGGGTTCCAAAGGCCCATCATTAAAATTAAATTTCTTTTTATAATCCAAATTAATAGTTTATTTAAGTCTCATGTGAGATTTCAAGAATCTTCATGGAGACTTAAATTAATCACATCATTGTGTGGGATAATATGTCCTTGCAGATATAGTGATTCTTAATTTTTATAATAAATAAATAATTTTTGTAAATAATCATATAATACAAAATTTAGAAAAATTAATTAATTAAATCAATATATTTAAGTTGTAATCACATTTATCGATTATATCTTTTAGTCATATGAGATTTTTAAATTTCTATAGACTTCTAAGATAATCATATTATCGTATGAGTTAATAAGACTCTGTAGATATAACGATTAAGTTTTTTAAAAAATATATAAATTATATATTAAATCAATCAAATTAAAAATGTATTAAAGCAAACATTATTTAATTTTTTATCATGTGAGATTTTGAAAATCTACAGATATTTAAGATAATCATATTACCGTATAAGCCAATAAGGTTTTATAGGTATGATGATTAAGATTCATTAAAAACATATATATACACACTTAAAATATATTATTAAGACTTAAAATATACATAAAAATATAAAAGAATGAATTAAGTTGTTGAATTCTTTTATCGTGTGAGATTTCAAAATCTCTATAAATATTTATAATAATTACATTACCATATAAACCAATAAGGTTCTGCAGGCATAGCAGTTAAATTCCTAATCATAAAACATAAAAAAATAATTTTAATCTCTTTTCTTTCTTTATTCCCAAAATTCAAAAATTGAGAAAATAATTGAAATTAAATTACTTTTTGTAATTTAAAATACACATATCAAAATTTTAGAAATTATTTTATTTACAAAATAGTGAATTATTTTTAATTAATTTCTTTTCAAAAAATATTTTTGCCAATAATTTTCGAGCCCGAATTACGTGGACTTTGATTCCCGTCACAGGGTACGTAGGCCTCAAAGTCAAATTCTGGGTCAAATCCTCCCTTGCAAATAAATATATATTTATCACTTAATTCTTATTATTTTTATATCAAACACATGAATATAAAAGGGATAATTAAAATAATTTTAAAATATAGTACAACAAACTTTAAGTAATCGTTCTGACGAATAGGTGTTGTGGGGTGTCTAACAACTTTCTCACATGCAATCGACTCCCGAATCTATTTTATATTTTTACAGACCATCCTTATCCTCCTTTAAACAGTTCTCAAGATTTCCCTTAAAATTTTGGTGGCGACTCCTATTTCATCCGGTTCCCGCCGCGAAGGTCAGAACCTCTACTTCCGCACTGTCCGTGTCGCATTTTTTGGGTGTGACAGAGTGTTCAATCTCTCAAGCAATAATAATGTTATCCTAAATATTGCATCCAAGGATTAAACTTGATTGAAAAGGCTAGGTTCATAATTGATTTTGATATGTACATGGGTACTTGGATATATTTTTACAAAATTATAGTTATATAACCTTTAAAATTGATTAATTTTGCTATCCAAACATGCAAATATTGTGCTTGTACACATATTCCTTTACTTTCAAAGAAGTTAAGCTAAGTTTAGTCTTTTTTATGGATTTAAGGGTAATTATTATATGTTTTAGAACAATTAGGATCCTAAACTATTTTTTGCTGCAATGTTTCTTTTTACGAATTGAAAATTGTGTAATGATATCTTTATTATTAATAAAAGTTAACTTTGACCGTTAGTTAACCAAAACATTATGGGAAAAGACCAGAGTATTTTCAAAGTTGATTTTAAAGGACAAACACTTTTGTCACATGTAGATCTTGGTTTTATCAAAAAGGAAAAAATATAGGCTAAAAAATAAGAGTCACCACCTAAGCTTTTGGGGAAATATTGGAAAACCGTATAAGAAAAAAAAAAAGAATGGTCTATGAAAAAATTTCAAGAGTTGATTGTATGTGAGAAAGGCTTTAGAGGCCTCATAACACCCATTCATAAATAAGAATAGTTATCCTAATTTGATTGCATCCATAAAATTAATTTGGCCTTTCAATTTACCTCAATTACCCTCCATAATTACATGTAAAACATAATAAATAAATAAAAATTAATGAAAATAAATTATTTAGTTATATGGGAGGACTTGACGTGGGTTGAGAGCCTAAAACGTATATAACTATGATATGGATTAAAAAGATTAATTCCACGTACTTTAAAAGTATTATTACTTCCCAACCCTTCATTCATGTAAAAACTTCATGCTGCCATATATAGCGGGAGAATTAATTCTGTTGCTTATTACATCCCTACCCTCCCTCTTGCAGCTGTACAATCACCACCTCAGATCCCCATGAACAATGAGCCGAGGGATTCTAAGCCCCTTCGCAAATCTCATATCATTATAGTTTTTTTTTTTAATTCGTGACCTATATTTGCTTTACTTAGAATTTCAGTGTCTCTCTCATTCTATTTCCATTCAAATGCCAGCAAATATTTCTACATAACATAATGGAATGGAAAAAAAAAACGTGCAAGTTATATAATTAAAATTTTATTATTAAGAATACTTTTTGGTCATTTTATTCTTATTCGATTGCAATTAATTCATTCCAATATGCCATGTGTGATAGTTAAATTCTTCTTGAAAGACTAATAAATAACTATGGGCTATTTTGCATGCCTGAAGTGATTTTTTTTTTTACCTTTTGCAAGTTAACATCTTCAATAATTAAACTGTGTATTTTCAATATTCAAGAACCAATAGTCTGCATCTTATCTGACGCTTCCAAGTAATAAAAGCTCTATTTTTTTAGAGTGTAAAAAGTTAAAAGTTTCATATATATGTACGATAGACTATGTTCTATATGGAGAACAAGAATGTCATATATACAGTAATATATATTCACATCTTGGTAAAACAATTTAAAATGTCATTCGTACGAGTCTAAAATACAAGCAAAAAAATAAAAATAAAAATAAAAGAATAGTTTGCTGTTAATATTAGTTTTCTAAAGATCATGCCCCACACACACAGACAGACACATGCACATCTTGGTAAAACAATTTAAAATGTCATATTTTGTCCAAGTCTAGAATAGAAACAAAAAAAAAAAGAATAATTTGCTGTTAATATTAGTTTTCTAAAGATCATGCCACACATATAACTGATCAATCATGCACACACTTTCTTATTTCAGTCACATGACACAATTTAAACCATCCCAGCCAACAAATTTAATGACGACAACCTAAATAGCAACTTCATGAAATTAAAAACTTCACAAAATTCATAGTTTAAACGATCCATTTCATATCGTCAATGTTGAGGATTGGCCTTTAGAAGCAAAGTGCATGTATGGAAGCCAAAGTAGCAAGTCTTGTACATCTTTGGATTTTCTTGTATTTGTTGGACATGTTTTCTGGCTCCACAACCTTGATCATTCTTGTATATGCACCTATAGTATTTTCTGCCAATCCCAAATATGTGAATATAATATATGACCATGAGATTGTTTTAAATCTTTATAAATTTCACATTGATATTGAACTTATTATGTAAATAAAATGGTACTATCTAGGAAAGCTGTCTCTATTTGAGACCTTGTATATAATGTTAAACCTGGTTTAGTCAATGGGTAGCAATAAATTAGATAGTTTTATTTCAAAAAATTTAATAAACTCCATTAGAAAAGTTGTCTCTATTTGCGACCTAATAATAATAATGATTAAACTTAGATTAGCTAGTGCTGATGACAAATTAGATAGTTTTAGAGAAAACACACCTATTTGTCCCTATGGCTTTAACGTGTTTTGTTATAGGTTCATACAATTTTTTTTCACCTTTTCATGTCCCTCTAGTTTATCTAGTGTGCAACATTTGTCCCTTTATTTTTTAATATGTCCAAAAGAATGACGAGATGACACTAATAATGTCAAATACGCTAACATATGACTAACGCCATTAATCTTTGTGCTGGGATTGAATTATACTTCAAGAAATTGAAGCATGAAATAGAAGTGGTGGACAACACTATTAATAATTTGTTAAATCATAATTCTACCTCAGGACAGATTAATGATGTTAGTCATAAGTGAACATATTTAATATTGTTGGTATCATCTCATCGTTGACCTTTTAGACATATTTAAATACAAATGGACTAATATTGTAGACATGATAAACTAAAGGAACCTAGAGTGACAAAAAAAATATAAAGACCATAACCAAAACACATTAAAACTATAGGGACCAACATATAGTTATGTTTTCCCATAGTTTTGTCATCAAAAAATTGCGTTTATATAAATCAATCCTTTAATTTGTGTTTATGAAATTACCTTGGGTGTGTCAAATTGGGGGGTTGTCTTCTCACCATACTTCCTCCATTCATGAAAATCTTTTGTTCCCGGTGACATCACTGTCCATGTTGGTTGAATATTTCTAAAACAAATTCATTGAACATTTAGGTTATGTTTGAATGCACTAAGATTAAAGGGCAATTTCACCCTTAATTTATAAGTCCAAGAGCGTCTAAAGCTTTAAATGTATTTTTAATGCAATATTTTTCTTCAACTTATAAAAACAATATAATGTTATCTCTATTATTAACAAAATTTACTTTGACTGTTAGTTGACTAGAAAATTAAATTACCAAAACTTATTCAAAACATTATAGAAAATGATAGAAAAGATACAGACAATAAGGACCAATAACTTTTTCTTCTTTTTTATATATTTTTTTATAATTTCTGATCAACTAATAGTTAAAATTAACATTTATTAACAGTAAAACAATATTGCATTGTTTTGAAATATTTTAGGAGACATTGCACCAAAAACAAGTTGACAGTCTCATATGCTCCTATACTTAATATAGTTTAGGGATAAATTTGTCATTTAACCCTTAAATAAAACTAATATCATGGGAAAACCTGGTAATGATTTTGAGTAATATCACAAAAAAAAAAAAAAAAAAAACTTACTTGGATTTTACGGTGTGCTCATTTTTTCCGAGAAACAGCTTGTTTACAAGACCCTCTATAACTTGGACTCCAAAATCTCCAGTTTCGACATGATCATTTAGGAACGTGATCATGAAATTCTCGTACGCAAGCAACATAATTTTCTTCAAAGAACTCGTAATGACATTTCTCAGTTGATCATCAAAGATAACCCATGAAGACTGGTTTTCACATATCTCCTCAAACTGCAACTTAAAGAGCTCAAGCTTCTCTCTGGCATGATGGGATTCGACAATATTATGTGAGTCATAATAATCCATAATGTTTAACAGCTCAAGCACTTTGTCCCATGAACTTCTCTGGTAACTAACAAGGTAGTGTCTCACTTTTAACACTTTTTCCTGCATCCACTCGTCACCTAACAGGTCTGCCATGTTACTATTTTTGGCCTCGTGAACTATGTACCTAACGTTGTTCATCATGAAGAAAGAGCACAAAGCTGAGTCGTTGTTATTGTAAATCTTGGAGTTAATCTCCAGATTAGTTTCCAACAACTCCACAATCTGAACTATTTGCTTAGATAAAGAAGAGGACGACGAGGACGAAACTTGGTTGTCGTCGAAAACTTTATCGAGTGTTTTCCGGCGCTCACAAGCAGCTCTCGGGTAATTCATCACATAACGGTTTGTCGGATGAAGCCCACCTCCGGCGACTGCTAGCTCCTATAGAATGAATGGTAAGGATAAATTGATCATGTCCCTCCTTTTATCTGAAATATTATGTTATTGGCATGATCACAAACAAACAAACAAACAAACAAACATACATACATACATACATACATACATACATACATATATATATATTATTTATTTAAAAATAATATTTGGTTAAATAATTACTAACAATGTTTATTTTATTTAATATGCATGCATGCATATATATATATATATATATAAAGAGTCACTTCGTACCTAAAATATAAACACTATAATAAAAAAGGGGACAAACATAATAGACAAAAATTGAAGATTGAGAAATATTTTTTATATTTTTTTAGCTTAATTTAAAAGTGATTTTGTTAAAAAATAGTTCTTCTATTTAACATAACGTCATATTAAATTTTTTAAAAAATTAAATAATAATAATAAGTCATAGATAATAAGAGCTTATTCAAATGATAATTGAAGGAGACAGAGTAGGCATATATATATATATATATATATGTATATTGTGCGCGGTGTGTGTGTTAATTAATGTGACAAATAGTTCAAATGGTTTTGTGTACTGGTTCCAATCTGAAGTATAAGCAGGCAAGCACCTTTTAAATTATTAGCATATTAAAAAGATTTATTTTTTAAAAATATATATTATTTTTTATTCTTAATTTTGATTTATGAGAAGTCATAAATATACAGTAAATACAAGAATCTGGATTAACAATTATTCAATGGATAAAATGATAAAAATTTTTTTACAAATATTAAATTATTTATATTTTGGATCAAAATCAACCGGAAAAAAAAAGATTTATATTTTGCACCATAGTTCTTTAAGATAAGGTGCCGGATTCTAGTTAGTTAACAACCATATAATACTTACCCAGAGGAAAAAAAACAAAGAGTGCTAAAGACAATTTAAATCTTAAAAATAGATAGCTTTTCAAGATATTTTTCCCACCACAACGTTATTCAAAACTTCCAATTTCATCATTTAATGAGAAAGTGATCAATATCTGTACCAGCGAATGTCAACACCTAAAACACATAGGAGGGACACAAATTCAGAGAGAAATAAAAACAAATTAAAAAATGGAGCATGTAGAAGGAAAAATATTGCATTAAACATTTAAATCCACTTAATTTAAGATTGGTGAATTTGGATAAAGTTTTCTATATATATATATATATTTTATAATTTTTTATATAATATAAATGTTTTTTTTAGAAAGAAAAACTATACGTAAATTTATCAATATTAAATTAAAAAATATTTACCTTTGCTGGATCTTGACGAATCAGATTCTCGAGCTCCATGAAAACGCCCCTGATTGCTTCTTCCAACCTCTTACACACTGTAATGGCTTCATCGTAGAGAAATTTACAATGTTGATTGCAGAACAGTGACTCCATGTTGGGCAAAATCTCCTCCAATGTCTCTAAAACGTCCACGATTCTGAACAAACGCTCCGGCGACTGCGTCGTCCTCGAAACGGCGCCGGCGTAATTCAATAGTTGTGTCGTTATCCCCTGACAAACCTCCGTGAAAGACAGATAGTCCAGAGGAGAGAGTCCCGAGAAGACGACATGACACGCATGTCGTTCATTAGGAAACAACGTCTTAAGGACAACGTTACAAGCCTTCGCCCATTCTTCTATGTCGTCTTTGAGATATTTCAATGGCAGCCTGTGATGAACCTCCTCGATGCTGATCACGAGCTTCTGAAACGCCGCCGCCGTACTGATCAGCAGCTTGTCGTGTAAGACCTGTTTTCGCCAAATGATGAAAACTTCGTAGCTCTCTTTAACAAACCCAGAAGCGATTGCGTTTTTAAGTTTGGATTCAAAATCTGAAGGATAAATGAATCTCTCCGGAGTTTCTCTGTCATTCTCAATCCCCAGAATCGAACACAATCGTTTTCTGAGATCGTAAGCACAAGTATCAATCTTTATAGTAATACTGCTACTAACTGTATGATCTGATCGATAATGCAAGTAAGAAGGAGCTAGAACAATAGGGAAATAACAGAGAGCTGCTCCGACCACAGACAAACACAAGTTGATCTTCATGAGTTGGACAGCGAGAGAACCCAGGAAAATTTTGAGAAGATCGTCCTCGAATCCAAGTTGAATCTTCTGAAATGACAAGCTCAAAGACATGAAAGCAAATGAACCACTAGAAATGAGACTGAACGCATCTGGGTTTTTCTTCACGCATTTGTCATAGAAGAAAGAGTAAACTGAAGTCAGGAACAAGACCAGAAATGCTACGTGAGATCTGAAAAGGAGATTCTGATAGGGAAGTTTCCATGTCTTGGCAAACAAAATACTGTAGGCGATTATCAGACTCACAGAGATATACAGAATAATTTTCCAAGTGTTCCACTCTGCGAATATAGAATGGAAAGATGAACTCAGAAGATAGGATGACAGCCCCATGATACTCGACAGGAATCCCAGGATTCTCCAGAAGTCGACCTGATGATGATTTGTACTGAGGATTCGATTATCGGACATTGTTGTGACGAGGTTGTGTGATTTTATGTGATGCAAAAGGCAAGTAACTCAAGGAGTTAAAAGAGGGAAAGAATAAGGTTGACGCGGCTCAACCATGGTGGGTTTAACTTGGATCAATTATAAAATGATTTCCATGAAAAGAGAATACATGATTGTTTAGTTTTCATGGAAAGTGGAAACTAGCTATCTAGCTCGATCAGTTTTTTGAAATCGGATTCATTCAAAGGTACTCCCTCATTTTTCAAATATAAGAGAAATTAGCATGCGTCCGTTTGTGTTTATTTATAAACAAAACTATAGATTTCAAAAAACATTTATCATATTTTTTCCAAAATGTACCTTAATTATAAAGTCAATTTTTAATTGTTTATTTTTATTAAATAATTTTTTCATTAATTATAGGGATAATTTAGTCCAAATTATTTAATTTAAAATATAATTATTATATTTAATTAAATTTCTTAAATTATATGAATTTGAAAATGGACGGAGTATGTGGTATGTAACAATCTGAGATTCTAATTCGACGAAGGAAAAGTCTGATGAATGCAGAGAAGCGACGCTCAACATAAGTCACGCGGTTAGGTTGGAATTGATCGTTTCTTAAACGTATTAATTGATGATAAGGATGTTATAATATATTATCATTTATTATCTATACCGCTCGAATAATATATATTATTCATTCCAATTCCACAGCTAGTTTATTTGAGGTAATTTTGTTAATAAACATTACAATATTGATTGAACGAGAACAATCGGTTACTGTGGATCATTGTGTCAATAATCTAGGAATAACATTTCAAATATAAATAATATTAAAATTGATTTCACTTGAACTGTTGGTTTGGGAAAAAAAGAAGAAATGATCCTGCTTCTTATTCGTCATTTTTATTGTGCCCAAGTGTGTTTATTCAAGGTTTATATATATATATATATATATATATATCACATAATTAACTAAATTTCAAATTTTTTATTTTCCTTTAAAATTTTATATAAATCGAGCTCAAGATATTTATTTGAATCCCAAAAGCTAATTAATCAAATGCGTCTAAATGACGTCATTTGGGTCAATAAAATCAAACCAATAACATCAACGCGAAGTTTTAATTTATATAGGAAAAAATGGGTGATGAAGAGGAAGCTACCTGTGGAAAGGATATATTATATATATATATATATAAAAAGGAAACTGCCGGCAACTTTACTGCGTCACGGACGGGATTCATTATCCTTTTGTTGTTGACGATAAATAGTATTTTGAATTTTTGAGTAGCATAACGTACGCGTATCTAGCAAGAAAATCGATGAATGGCCATGGAATTGCATTTGAAATTATTATTATAATTACAAATATTATCAGTATTAATATAAAATATAAATTTTATACCAAAAGGTAAGTTGATAGTAAGAAACTTTTTGGCCAACATGCGAACTTCATTCCATAAGTTTATAGTAAGAAACTCATAAGTCAGAAATAATACGATTCATTTCCAAAAATTTAATTAACTATATAATTCAGTTAGACTAGAAATTCTCAACAATGTATAAGCAATAAACAAAAGTAACCTCATGTTTTTACAAGGAGTTTCTCTCTTCTTATGACAGTTAGTTGCCACGGTTATCATCGTTTGGTGGTTCATTTGGCGCCATTTCCATTGTCTACGATGGCCAGAGAGAATAATATGGAGATCTCTCATCACAAAAGAAAGGATAAGGAGTTATAGGACCTGTTTGTTTCTGTTTTTAAAAATTATTTTTTGTTTTTGAAAACAAAAAATTTAACAACTTGTTTGGATAAGTGTTTTTCATTTAATTGTTTTCAAAACTATTTTCATTTTTTTAAAAAACAAAAAAAATAGAAACTACTTCAAGTTTTTTTGATTTTACTTTTTTTATTTTTAAAATACACTACACTTGATCATTAAAAATTATAGTTACCTTAATCAATTTTTATTATTAATCACCACCATTAATCGCCTATAACCATCACTATCAGTTCATTTTTAATTGTAAAACTGTTTTTTAATTGACATAGCTAAATGGATTTTTCATTTTATTTTGTTTTGAAAAAAAATTTAAAAAACTATATTACAAAATAATTTTTAAAAATAAAAAATAAGAACAAAAACCAAACAGACTCATACAATGTGCTTCATTGTCCATTGCGACAGAGCGAGGAAAGAGTGTCCCTCTCTTCCGCACTGTGATAGAGAGACTAAGGAAATGGAGAGATCGAGGAGGTTGGGAGGTTGGCGAAGGTTGGAAAGTGGTCATTGAAGGAGAGGAGAACTCGATGTTGATATAATATATATAAATAAAATATTATAGTTTTAAATCATTTAGATTAAATTTTAATAGTTCAAATTTATTTATATGTTTTATATAAAATTAAAATAATAATTTTATCAAATATCAAATATGAATCATTAAAGAGTTAACCACGATGAGAAAAAAAGGGGAAAATGGAGAGTAGAGAAAAGGAAACACCCCTCTCCCTTATTGTGTCATGGTATGAAAAAGACGAAGGGAATGAAAATCATTTTTTTACCTTTGCAGCTCCAACACAACTTCCTTTATTTCACACACATGCTTTCACAACTCTCTTTCCTCAATTTTTCTTTGCCTCAAGCTAAGCCTTCTTCTCTGCTTTGCTCACTTCTTTTTTTGGTATTGAGGGGTAAAATAGCAAGAAAAAAAATCATGACAGTATTCCTCATAGTTAAATTCGCTATTGCAGAAGTAGGAATCAATGTCACCTTTTAATGTCGTTATCCAAAAATCTAATGTGAAAAAAGATGATAGCATAGTTTTAATTTTTTGCTTCACTTTTCACATTGGCTTTGTCTTTAACTGATGTGAGTAACACTTACCACATTAGTAATCTACAAAACTAAGAGGAAGCATAGATACGTCGATTTTGGTGATGCATCTGTGTTGAATACGCATCAAACATGGACACTCGCTCCGTGCGAGTACGTCCATGTCCGACACATTTTTTATTTGGGCAACACGGTGCGACACGGCGAGACACAGCTTCGACATAGCTTCAACATGGGACATTATGTTTTGCATAAAAAGATTGCCCAAAGCCCTAATTTGTAAAGCATAAGCAGATCGAACGTCACACTCACTTCTGATTCTAACATTCTCTCCCAACTTGTGAAATCAATCGGCTGTCACTCTCTTACACTGAGTCCCAGATCGTACCGTTATGCTCCTCTGTGAACCCTTGGAACAAGCTGTCATGCCTTCTTGTTTGCACTGCTGTGAACGCATTCTTAGTTGCTCAGCTCATCGGCGTCGAGTCTAGGTTCCTTCATCCATTCACTGGTTTGCTCTTCTCTCTTTCTCTCTCGTGTCTCAACTCTCAACTCTCAGCCTGGTGCCTTGTGTTTATATTTGTTTCAGCTTACATGTCCTATTTTTTTATCGAAGCTCATGCTCTGTTCTATGCTTCTGTTCCTCTTCTCTAAATTTAACTTTTATTCATTAATTTAATATGTTAGATTGCGATGTTCATGCATTCAATCTATATCCGATGCCTACTTGCTTTCTATTTTTATATTACATATTATTTTGCTCAAATCTCAATCTACATTTGAATGCTTTTAGTCATATTTAATTTTAGTTTATTTCAATTTTTTTAATTAGATATGGCTATAGCAAGTAGTTCTGGGGGAAGTATTAATTTAGCAGCCCGTTTTTCTTCTATAAATGAGCTACAAAAAGATGGAACTCCCTTATAGTGTTATGTCACTTTGGTGAATAAAAATAGAGACATACCGGGGGGTGGAAATAGATATTAGAGGTGTAATTATTGTAACAAAGAATTTAATAGCTCTTACTCTAGAGTTAAGTGGCACTCGTTAAAAACTTCTAGCAAGGGAATTATTGTAACAAAGAATTTAATGGCTCTTACTCAAAAGTTAATGAGTATTGCCTAGCTGAGATGAGAAAATTACAAGAAGATGCTGATGATAAAACTAAGCCAAAGCAAGTGCCATTACCACCATCGGCTGAAGGTTTATCTCCCTTACATCTTATGACAAGTGAATGTAACTAAAGCAAGAGAAGGTAGTAAGTCCATTAGACAAGGCCTTCCAACAAGGGGCAAGAGAAAATCTACATGCTGAAATTGCAAGAATATTTTATACAGGTAGTCTATCTTTTCATTTTGCGTGCAATTCATATTTCATTAGTTCATATCAATATGCTGCCAACAACATCATTCCTAGATACAAAGCCCCTGGTTATAATGCATTACGGGGTTCATTGTTGCAAAGAGAAAGAGCTCACACAGAGAAGTTACTTGAACCAATTAAAGGAACTTAGAGTTTAAAAGGAGTGAGCATAGTCATAGATGGTTGGATAGATGCTCAAAGGAGGCTTCTGATTAATTTTATGGCTGTGTTTGACGGGGATCCCATTTTTTAGGTAGTTGATGGATCCAAAGAATATAAAGATACATATTATATGGCTGACCTGATGTGTCAAGTGATTGAAGAGGTTAAGCCTCAGAATGTGGTTCAAATAATCACTGACAATGCATTTGTTTGCAAATCAATAGGTGGACTTATAGAGGCTGAGTATTCCACCACTTTTTGGATGCCATGTGTTGTTTATATGCTTAATATTGCATTAAAGAATATATGTGCAGCAAAGAACATAGAGGCAAATGAGATTGTGCATGATGAATGTCCTTGGATAGAGGAGGTTAAGGATGATGTTGTTTTTATTAGAATATTTATCATGTGTCATTCCACGCGATTGGCAATTTTTAATGAATTTATGCCATTAAAATTACTCACCATAGCTAATACTCGCTTTGCATCCACTATTGTTATGTTCAAAAGACGCAAGCTCATTAAAACTTCACTTCGTACAATGGTGAGAAGTGAAGCATGGAATGCTTATAAGGAAATGATGTTGGAAAGGTAGCCACAGTGAAAAATTTGATTCTTAATGACTCTTAATGGGACAAGGTGGATTATATAATTTCTTTCATTGGATCGATTTATGACATGCTTCGGATGGCTGACACAAATAAGCCTATACTTCATTTAATTTATAAAATGTGGGATTCAATGATAGAACAAGTGAAGGAGTCCATCTACAAGCATGAGAATAAGGAGCTTTCTGAGTATTCAGCTTTCTATGATGTTGTTTATAGGATCATTATTGATCAATAGACAAAG